AAAAAAATTTCTTATTTCAGAAACAATTTTTTTCTTTTTTTAAATCAGCAGTGGGGACAAGTGAGGGAATGACATATTGGTATATTTTAATTACCTAAAATAAATAAAAAATAAAAATTGATAATTTTATTTTTATTCTTTTGTTAGCTTGCATTCTGAAGGACACTTTCCCTGAAAATTTTTTTTCGTAAGTTGTAAAACAAACATAAAATATACTGGGGACATGAAAATGACTGTTTTTGTGAGAATGACCCATATACATTTTTCGATTTTTTTTAAAGACTTAGATATTTTAAAGCATATATTTTGTTACCATTCTAATTATTCGGGAAAAATCAACGGTTCTAAGTCGTAAAATTTAATTATTCTGTACAAAGAGTACTTCCCGTACTTATAACTTTTATTACAAATCATACGTTATTTTACTGAAACTGGGCTTTAATTGGAAACTGCCATTGTTATTCTAAGCTCCTTTTTTCTAAATTTAAAACTTAATCGCTTTGTTGCTTTTTTTTTTAAAGAAATTACAACCAATGTAAGGAAAATTTGAAGAATCACCTGCATTGCTCATCCAAGTGCTTCTCATCTTCTATGTAATTTTTTTGTCTCCCGAATAACATCAAATTGTCCAGCTCATCTCGACAAGCAATAGATTCACTGGAATTGCAATCGTGTCCATCAACAGTCTGCAGCCATTCTGTCAAAAAAAATGTTGAATTAATGTCGATTGCAATGTTTGGGGTTTGAAGCTACTTTACGTAACAATACTTAATTCCATTTTCATTTATTTAATGCAACAAATTTAAATATTTAAAAATTTCAGTGTTAATAAGCATTAAATTTGGAATCATATAAATATACTATAGAAAAGGGTATACTGCAAAGGAAAAATTCATTATCTAAAGAGAAATAAATATCTATAGAAAATTAGTAAATTAATTAGTATTCTTGATAAGAAAAATGAGAAAAAATAACATTAGTTGAGGAGAATTCTTCTCTGCTCTAACTATTCAGTGTACATAATCCTACTCGAAAGGACACATGGAGTATCAGCCAATCTAAGAAACGACGCTACAGAACATAAGGTAGCATAACATTTAAAACTTGACAAAGAACAAAAACAAGATAATTAAATCTAAATGCTCCATTTATTAATCGGAAAAAATAAGCCACAAAATATTATAAGATACCGAAAATAGAAAGCCTGAACAAGTTTTCACCAATTAGTTCATTTGGCACTTAGGCACTTAATTCCTAAAAATCCGGCGATCATTAATAAAAAGTAATTCAGGGTGATTAAATTTGCACAATGTACGCCGATGCCGATTTAATTTCCTTTTTGAGGTTCTGTAGTAATAAATAATATTTTTTACTGAATAGTATACCATTTTAGATTGTTTTTAGTTTGTATCAGTTATTCATGAATAATGGGTTGAATTTTGCTTGCTTTTAGAAAGCACGCTGTGTGCTAGCAACGAAAAGCATGCATAATGTCATTCTGAAGAAGAACCACAGTTTTGCGAAAATAAAACATTTAATTGAAAAGTTGTTCCAATTCTATATTGCCCAGGCTCATGAAAAATGTTTTAAAAAAATGGTGGATTGGATTTTTGAATGAGACGTCATGCGTGGGTCAGCCAATCAGGTTCGACATACGCGAGTGATATCGCTTGCAGGTATCAAATTAAATCAAATTCTAAAACTGAATTAGCGTAATAATAAATCCAAGTCTTAAGAATGTAATATTAACATATCATGCACAACCTCGTGATTAGACCCAGCCATGTGATTAGTTGCACGTACCCAATTACTAATTGATTTTAATCATTTTTATTTAGAGGGCAATATTTCTTAAAATTATCTATTTAAAAAGAGCTTCAGGGGATTTTTATACTAGTAGTAGCCTTCGCTCAATACTCGTTAACGTTCACCTATCCCCGAAAATAACCAAGCAATTCTTTTTGGATTTGCTTTTTGAACCAAGCTCGCTGTTTCAGTTTGAAATGTTCCCTAGTATCTGGAAACATCTATATATTTGTAAATTTATATAAGGAAGAAACAATTGAAAAAAATACGCAAGACAAAAACAATCGCAGAAACTACAAAAAAAACATAAGTAATTCATTCGTTGTTCATTTCACGGGGAGTAGGTAGGGCATGATGTTAAAAGCGATGAACTAGATCATTTATTTTTCTGGCATTGGAAAACGATAATAAATTACAAAACGATGGGTGATCTAGTTGCGCCTTCGTTATTGTTGTATTTTTTAAGAGATCTAGTTACGCCACCGACGTTTTTCAGTTTTTGATTTGTTCTTGAGTATGATGTTTATTTTTGGGTAGAACTGTTGGGTTTAAGATTATTAAGAGTTGCTAAGTTTTTACCAATAGTATTGGTAGTTTTTTCAAACAGAGTTGTGTTTTAATCATGTTCTAGTTCATGCTTTAATATTTTCAGTCGTGTTTTTAATCAGCTCCAGTTCGTGTTTTAACACATACAGCAATAACTAGTGGCCTGCGCCCCCTGCTCGCTAACGCTTGCCAACCCCCGAAAATTGCTACGCTATCTTATATAGTTTGCCTCGCAAACCAAGCTCGCTACTAACTTAGGTACATTACAAATGCACAAAATTCTAAGAATTCAAAACAATCATTCAAATCCATATAACAACTTTTTTTTTTAAAAAAATTGCATCTTTTTAGTAAATACTAAGTCATTAAAATAAATTTGAATTCAAATAAATGACATGTAATTCGTTAAACCTATTAGAAATGTGCTATAGTATAAAATCTTAAAGCGTAACAGCACAACTGAGACTCATTTTTCAATGAATAACTATAAACAATAATAAAACAAATAAATTCGCGATATAAATCAAAAATCGTCAAATAAATTCGTAATATATAAATTCGTGAAAAAAAGCGCTTTCGACAAAATACTAAAATAGAGATCCATCGACAAAGACTACTCACTTCTGCCTAGCTTAATAGTATGAGATTGCCGCAGCTGATGCTCTCTCTGGTTATTTCAGTTTCCGTTTTTAAAAGCGCTATATGTAGAGCCGCCTCAGCTAGATTTGGCATGTGACATTCTTAGCAGCAATCATTGGTCGATTTTCTAGCGTTGCCATTCGGGGAGTTGTAATGAGGCTTTTTTTTGTCTCAGTGTAAGAGAAATATATATATGGATGATAAAACTGACCTTTTCTAAGAAACTATGCTTTGAAGCTTTTTGGGGACATTTCAGATTATATCAGTTGTATACTGTGATAACATATCAGCATTAGCAGGAATAGTGCTTGAGTTATGAAAGATAATTGCTCTTAAAGGATGAACCTTTTTTAAAAAATAGAAGTTCTCAGTTCATAATTTAAAAAAAAAATTCTTCCCAATATATGTATTAACAGTATATCACCTATGTAAATATTCTGCGAAAAAAAATCTTAAGCAATATCTTGTACTGAAAAAAAGTTAGTTTTGGAATTATTGATAATAATATTTCATAAAATAATTTTTCCACCTTGATAAATAATAGTTTTGCTTCGAATTTAAAGCGTTTAAACTGTGATTTATTTATTTATTTATGTTTTGGTGAGCGAGCTTCAAAAACCCATATTAAGTAATCGTTACTTGATAACATAGTACAACAAACACGTTTTTAACTTTCATATTAAGCCGGAAGGAACACATATCTGACTAAGACAGTATGGTATTAAACATTGTATATTGAATCAGCAGGTGGTCGTTCTTTCCTTGGGTGTTCGATTACTTCAAGCTAATCTCATACTGAACTTTATGATACTGTTAGAACAGCATCCTTGAAAAAATTATGCCCATTTTTATTCCACATATCTTATTTGAGGAATTTAAGAAAAGAAAAAGGTGTTGACCGCATCTGAACCAGTTACAAACGAATGATTTCCAGAAAAAAATGTTTGAATAAGTGTTAAATGCATCATTTACTTTCATTGGAAATGTTCTTTTTTTTTCAAATACGATAGCGATGAAAAAATAAACTTAGAAAATGTAGCATAACTTTCAAGTGAAGTACTTTGCTCTAAATAAATTGTTAGAAAATTTGTGTAGTATTTTGAGGTTTTGAAATTTCTTTTGAGTACAAAGAGTGAAAAGTAAAATTGTTTCGTATGACAAGTGCTTTACAAAACTTAAGAACACATATAGATATTTTGGAAGTTCATTTACCAAGGAAAATAAAAAGCAGTAAGGAAAACTTTTAAAGTAAATACAAAAAAAGGACGTGAAACGAAACGGCAAATATATATTCATATATATTATCAGAAAAGAATTGACTGAGCTTTAATACAGACATATTTTTTTTAAAAATTGAAAGGAAATTTTTTTCAAAATAACATTAGTTTAGATAGCTTTTTTACCAAGATGAAAGTTATTTAAATCAATGAATATTTCTTAAATTTCTTATTTTTATGAGAATCAGTCTAGTTGCAACTTTAAAATGTATAAAAAGTACCTTATAAATGTTTATAGTTTTAGAAAAACTGCATAGCATAGGAAAATCAAAGCAAAAACTTAATCTAACAACCAATCATGACTAACTATTTTAATCGTTGTAATTAAAATTGGCCTTTCAGGTCACATTTTCTACCTTCATAATCTTGGTAATGATGTAACAGGCAGCAACGCTCCTTTTTTTGTTCACTCAACAGTTAAGGTGTATATATAACTCATAACTGTATATTGCTATTATAATCTAATATTTTTTAATGATTATAATGTTATAATAATTATAATGTTAATAATAATGTATAGTAAGTAAAATTTTATTATAATAATAATGACATAATTTTACTATGGTATTATTTATAACAACTCTCTGACGTTGGAAAAAATGAGATTATCATGGTAACGGACAGTGGTAAAGTGTAGAAAGCGGGAAAGTTGTATAGAATGGAAAGGCCTATTTTATTTACAAAGACTATAAGAACTCATATTTTATTTGATGAAATTGTTAATTCATAAAATGTATATAATGGATACTCATATTTCACGAAATTCTCTTTGCCTTTGACGAAAGAGCTTTCTGGTATATGCTCCGAGCAAACATTTCGCCAAACTGCAGAAATAACTCTTGTTCCTTCCTCTAGGAGCCAAATTCAGACAAAATTAAAGAAATATTTCGTCAGTCCAGTTTTTTTTCCAAGAAAAAAAAATATGTTGTTCCCAATTAATTGAACTTTCCTAATAATCACTTTACCGTAGGCACCATATAAGTGGGTCACTGTCGCTCAAACAACACAGGAAAGTTCATGTCCACAGCGGGATTTGAACCCGGGATCTTCGAGGTTCGAGGCCAACTCTTTGAAAAACATACAAGACCATTCGGTTTCATCGTCCCTTTTTTTCTTTCACCTAGTTAATCTCCTACAATGCACTACGATGAGGTTTCGGAAATAAGGAAACATTTTCATCATTAATTTGAGAGTTCGCGCTTCGTCACGAATCGCGTGATTTCGTGACGATGACGAAATGATTCTCAAAATTAAGGAAATACAATTCAAGGATTGTTGAATCGTCAAATGTGGCAGTATTATTACTGAGAATGCACAAAGAACAAGCCTTAAAAGAGCAAGTGTGTTCAAATATGAGAAATAATACAATATTAGATTTCATATTCCACGACATTCTTCTAGTATTTATCCTACGGCAGATCGTAAAATG